CTGATCCTAGCCCCACAAGACCAACTAATTCCTGTTCCCAATATCTGGTTAACCCTTTGTTGTTCGTTCAATCTGGTTGGGCTCGAAGACACATCATTGGGGTATTGCCTCTTTGATGTATTAATGGCTGTCTATTCCTCACAGTCTCGGCTGAAATGGCCAGGTTTCCCACATATCTAACTGCTACCTCTTTCTAGTATTATTTGAGAGGATTTATTATTTCCTACAGGTTTTGTCTGTAATTCCTTTCAAAATATACTTCAAACATTTATTATCTTGTGGTTTATTCCCTCCATTCTGTATAATTAGTTGTCTAACCAAACTGTTAGGTCTTCTAGACTATTATCAGTGTGAGTTGATGTTTCAATGTTACTCACCTAGACAATCCCATAGCTTCAACATGGTATCTTCAGTTGTTTATCTGATACCATAATGAATTATAATTTCATTGCCAACTGCAGAGCTTCCTTTAAAGTACACCAACTTTACTTCAGCCTGATTCTCATATCCTGTTCTGTTGGATAAGGCAGCTACCCATGCTTGTTAGTTGTAATGGCTCTCAGCTGGAAGATTACTTAATGCCATTAAAGCTAGTCCTTTGAAATGGGAAGCAAGATGAATAGCTTATTGTTCACTGTTCCACCCCTTCACTCTGGATATAATTTTGAAATAGCCCTGTACTACTCACATGATACTATCTCATCGTAATCCATTAGTTTCTCTATCGGCTGATGTTTAATTGGCCAGTTAAATTCTGAAACTGTATTTGGAAGTTTCATGGCTGAAGTTGTCCAGGTAGGCCCTTCAGTGACAGGTGATACAGCAGTAGTAGTAATAGATGTAGACCAAAATGGCTGGTTTAATCTTGAAATTTCATAATTCATATTCTAGGATTTTTATTCTTTCGTTTATGTTCTTTTGTACCTCAATGACACTTTTCTACATCATTGATGTGTTTCTTTACTTTCTGTAATTACAGCCTTACTGTGCTTCAGTTTTGCATTACAACCTATTCATACTTCTTCAATCTTATTGTTGTGATCTCTGTACGCCTCTAATCGCTTTATTGATGTTATCTTCAATAATATTTATTTTTAATCCTTCTTTAAATAATGTCTTTCTTTTAATAACTTCATCACCTCTAATAACACTTAGATCTCATGCTTGACCCCGTTGTTGTCATATTAACCAGTTGAATTCCACCTTTCAAAGTTCTATCTTATTTTTTGCTAAAATAATCCCACCTCTGACACCAGTGTTGTAATATCATTCTTTCATTAACAGGTTCTTTTGAATTATCTGGGGAAAATAATTCATTGTTCAACCCACATACCAATAACAAATTAGTTAATTTCTTCCTTAACGTTTGTACAAGTTTAAACACTGTTGTAACTTGTATGCTCGTTTACAGGTATGTTAACTATACACACTAATGTAAAATAATTTACTTGTACAAGATAATATGCACGATAGCTAGTAGAGATCCAAATACTTCACTATAAACAAAACTCTGGCCGAAATGAAAATTCATTGACTATTAATTAAAAACAACTTTCTTTCTCTCTTCTATGAACCTCGTATTTATAAGAAAACTTGATGTCAAATCTTTAGAACTTACTAGGTCTGTATTATTAAGCCTTCTGATCTTAACGTCATTATTACGACTCGCAGCACCCTCTAGCCCTTTCGAGACGGGTCAGGGGTGAAAGGCCATGTCACATCGCTTGACTCGCATTCAGTTTTATTGAACTACTATTTCGCGAGTTTATGTCAATAAGTTTGTATCAAACTGTAGATTATAATTCAAAATTTAGTACTACATTACTCAATTTCTTAATTGAAAAGTAAATATTAAAAACACAGATAAACATCGATTTTTGTGTGCCACGTGGTATGTTAAATGCAGCACTGGTTCAAATTAGATGTTTGTGAAGTCAAAATACCAAGTCTATAATTTCGTACGAATTGGAAACTCAAATTACCGATATTGATAAGCTGGAATATAAAATAAGAACGTCTTTTCTTTTTGCTAAGATATTGCTCATGTAATAAATCAAACATAGTGGCACCCCGTCTACCTCTTTCCACTTTTGGAAACACTCCCTTATATACACTTACTTCTATATATGACATGAATAACCAATCGGAAGCTCATAATGTCCCCCTAGTGGCTTTCTCAACCATTTTAACGGAGTTGGACGCCATTTATTTCTTTTGAACTAATATACCAAGGACATACGGTGTGTCTTTAGTCTGCTCGATATTTCATTTTTTTAGACTAAAATACATCTTATTTATTAAGCTTGATAAATTATAGTGGAATTCTATGGTATGGATGTAGTAATTTATGATTTTTTAGTTATTCAAATATATGTATATATATAAAACCTAAAAGAGTATTTTGTTTCATAACCTCCACATGAAAATTTTTTAAAGGCTTAGCAACCTACGACAAGCAGCAACCAGTACAAAGGTCTTAACTAGAAGAGATAATTGTTTGCTTTACTTCTTTATTTATTATTCTATGTTTTAAGAAAAAACAAGTTTAAGAACTTATTTTGAAAT